GCGGGCTATGGACCCGCTGATCGCCTATATGTGTGACACCCGGTAACGGGTGTGTGCAACGGTCGGGTCTTTTCTGCCCGTGCGTGCCCGCTAGGGGGCGCGCGCGAGCAGAAAAAAATTGCCGTCTGGAGACGGCAACCCGCAGATGTAGCAGTGCCGTCCGTCCGTTTTTTTACTACGGGCGGACGGCAAGAGGTTAAGTGGACTCCACGCCGTTCTTTTACAAACAGAGTGAAGCCGGCCAGGAACGGACATTTAGGACTAATATTTATGTTTCCTTGTGATCAGTCACTATTACAGAAGTACATTGTAGAGGTGCCACCCTCACACGCAGGTTTCAGGAATCCTCCAATCTTGTTACTGAAAGGAATTGTGTATTAGAAATGTTGCCCTTTAAGACGCATTCAATAAATAAGCCGCCTCATGCCCCCCATGGCAGTGCCCGGCCACCCCCGACCTCTTCTAACAAAAGCTTGCCAATTAGTTTTGCATAAGACCAGACAGAAAAAAATGACAAGATTTGTGTTTTTTAGACTTCATTGGTGGCTGGGACTCTATGTTCGGGGTTCAGGGATTCCCTGCTGGATTCAGTGAACATCTAACAGAGCGACATTGCTTGATTCGCTGATCCCTACTCCCTGGATCCCCACCATTTGTATTAGTGGGAGGTTGGACATACACCCGCATGGCTAGAATATATTCAGAGCTCTGTAGAGATTCTCATGAACTTGTTAGTTTGGCTCTGCTGATCATACCCGTTACTTGTATAACATGAGGAGGAAACAGGAAGACGAGACCGCATATGTAATGAGTAATATACAGCCGCATGGTATATATATAATTACATAGTGTGGCAATGATTGGAAGAGGAATCACCATCAGAGTCACTGACCGAGAGAAAGCGACAAGTGAAGACAGAACTGATCTGTATATTGGCTCCGGTCCATAACGCAGGACATGTATAAGACATTACATCATTGTGGCAGCCAGGGAACTCGTATTTTCAGGTGAGTTCAGCAAGAACAGCCCAAATACTTATCTCAGAGCTTCATTTACTAAGGTGTCCATCAACATTAACTGATCACACGCGGTCCAGCCAGGTTTAGTGTCAGATTTGATGAGGTTTTTGTCTCTGGACACATTTAGATCAGGTTGTCTCTCCTGGATGAGCATTTCCTTCACGGAGAAGAACCAGGCAATTGGATTTTACTAAGCATTGGCTGTCCTCCTATGAGAAGGTCGGGGCTGGTTGAGGGTCTGGAAGTTTAATGACGGTGTTCCTTTTTCCTGTATGGACAAAGCATAAGGTTTTTCTAAAAGCTGAACTCCAGACACAGAATATTGCAGTTCTCTATTCATAATTCCCTCATGAAATGTATCTTTTTTTAAATGCAAGCCGTGTAAGTACGTTTATTTGACTTGGTCTCATCCTACTGCCGTTCCCTGTACAGCCGAGCTCAGACTGGGAGAGGTAGAAGCAGCACAAAGAGCCAATTAGTTGTGCTCATGTGCTAACAAGAACCATGCTAATAGGAGGAAAGAGCCGAGTGCCTGAGATATGTTCCTCAGTCGGCTTCTCCTTCCATTGTCCAGTCTCAGACTGGGGTGGGGTGGGAAAGAGCCTGTAGGTCCCTCTTATCTGAGGCAGAGAAAACTCCGTTCTGCTTCTTCTCTGACAGACAGGAATATACTTTATAAGGAGGTTGTGTAACTGAGGACTAGATGGACAGAAATACAAACCAATGGGCAGATAAAACAAACTCCTTTATATGATTAATATAATTTATTGATTTAGTTTGATTGAAGTCCGGCTGTAAGGACGAGGTCTCCGGAGTGACAACAATCTGCCAAATATCACAAAGTGAACCATTTATTCTGAAGGCACCAAAATGAGTCTTTCTTCAGGATCATGACAAAGGATGGAACCAATGTTGTCTCTGTGTGTGTGACCGTCATACCCGTCTTCATATGTTTCTCTTTGTTTTATCTCCTCTCAGTGCGTCCAGAGGTGAAGGTGTGGGGCCACCGACAGTCCGATGATGTGACAAGGCTTCAGTGCCTGGTGTACGGGTTTCACCCCCGAGCTGTGGAGGTGAAGTGGGTGAGGAATGGGGTAGATGATGTTCCTTCAGGTGAAATGAGTTCAATTCTCCCCCATCCTGACGGCACCTATCAGATCAGAGTCAGTGTGGAAGTGCCAACAAAGGAGGGAGACACTTACTCCTGTCATGTGGACCACAGCAGCCTGGGGGCTGAGACTCTCAGTGTGATATGGGGTGAGTGACACAGAGAGATAGCCTTCAATGACTGCACATGACGTCTCTCTTTATGATGATAAAGATTTTAGAATGGATTTTCTTCACAATTGGTCCTTTTAAGAGAAATCATTGAAGAACCAGAATGTGTATTATTCATTCCCTCCTCCTGATAGCTGTGCTCTGCCCATGTACACCAATACTAGACGTGTTCTACAGTGTATAGATGAATGAGTCTTACATGTCGTAGTCTGATATTGAATATCACTGACTGCATTAGTTTAGACGTGTTCATATCCACATCATATCCATGAGAATGGAAAGTCCCGTCTAGAACTATTCATCGGAGTCACTTTTATTAAAGTGTTAAAAGATGAGGCTACAGTCATGTTTGCAGGTGAACTCAGACTGCAGCATGTACCCCGATCACTAATCTCAGAGGTATCAATTAAACTAGAACTACGGCCCCCCATTAACACAAGATATGTGCCACATCACTACATTATTAATGTATTGCTTTCCCATAGTTCCCTGCAAAGTCTCACAAATACCTTCCAGTCCTGCCAGTGAGGTCCACCTCATGCAGCTTTCTGTGATGGGGAGACAATGCTGCTGCATTCAAAGCAGCGATGTCCCTCATGTAGACTGTGCCTGCTTCACTACAGAAGGAGACACGTTTTTCAGCATTGTCACTGCTGATTCATACGCCTGCAGCTTGTCAACCAGCAACTGGTCACACGTATGGATTGGCAGAACTGACTAGGGATACACCGATACTAGTATTGGTGGGTAATGACTCGCCCCTCGGCTTCCTGATTGGCCAGGAAGTGTGTAATGATTCGCCATCCAGCTTCCTGATTGGTTGGGAAGCTGACCAATCAGGAGGCCAGGCGACTAGTCATTACGCGTTCCCTGGCTTCCTGATTGGCCAGAAAGCCGGCTCCATGCACCCTCATCACCTGGTGATGAGGGAGCATGGAGACGGCTTTCCTACTAATAAGGAAGCCGGGAGGTGAGTAATTACATACCGCCCGGCTTCCTTAATGGGACTTTCGATATCGGGATTGGCTCAGGTCCACACAGTGCTGGAATTTGGAAGCTGTTGGTTGTGGACCATTTTTAGATCTAGAGGATCAGACTGTTGCTTCTCCCTGCACTGTTTCCAGTCTTGGATCCTTTGAAGCTCCAGCGGCCACAAAGAATTTTACATTAGTCTTGTTTTTCCAAATCTTTCTATTCTGAGTTTGGAAACATCCCGACAAGCTGTTTTCTTCGCCTGAGCTTTGTAACTGTTTAGGGAGAATTTTGTACAAAAGTAGTCGCTTCTCATTGTGTGTCCTGCCTAACAAGGTGACCACCATACAGGTGGAGGATGCACCGTCTATCAGGTAAGCGGTTGGAATCCCTCTCTAGAATTACATTCTCACTGTCAGGCCCTTCCCATCTCATCACTGTGGTAGTTGATCTGATTATAGAACATGTGAAGCAAATGGCGATATTTTTACATTTCCTTTGTGACTTTTGACTGCTGGAGGGTTCTCAGCTTATCTCTTGTACGGGTTTTGTGTCCTTACACATGCGTAGGATCCTTTGGTTCATCTGCTGGACTGCAGAACCTGTGTGTAAGAAACATTTGATCTCATGACTCTTGAGGTTATGTGCATGGCCTTCAACATAAAACATCTCTTTGGATCTACTCTTGATACCATTATCAAAGATGCTACTCATGGCAAGAGCACCAACCTTCCTCAGCAGAAGAAGGCTAAGAAGCAGACTGCAAAGTCCTATCCCTCTTATCTGTGAAGAAACGTCCTTTTCACTTTCATGTTCTCTACATCAAGACCCCCCCAAGCTGGGCTTCCATCCCACTCCCAAGTTCTGCTATGCAAAGCCTACCAAATCCCCAGACCAGCCTTCCTCGCCATCAATCAAGCCAAACAAATGACAAACGCACTCATCAATTCGTCCCCAGCTATACAGCAAGGTGCACACGAAATGGGTTTTAAACAGTTAAACAGCAAAAAGTTTTCCTTGGAAACACTCACAAGCCAGCATGTAAAAAAACTTGTCTCACCACTAAGGCTAATAACAGAGGTTTGGATAAACGTCTTCTGCAGAAAATGTGAAAGCCGCACAGCCGCGCCAAGGCACCTCTTATAGTGCACCCAATTTTATCTTCTGCCCCCATGTGCTCCAAGATGGAGACTCTCATAGTTTAGAGTTAGGACCGCACTATAAGAGGGGCCTTGGCACGGCTGTGCGGCTTTCACATTTTCTGCAGAAGACGTGTATCCAAACCTCTGTTTTTAACCTTAGTGGTGAGACAAGTTTTTTTACATGCTGGCTTGTGAGTGTGCCAGGAAAACCTTCCGCTGTTTCCTCGCCATCAAGGCGCACTCCTATCAAGGCGGGCACAGCTGGCTATGCCTCTAGATAGACAGAGCCAGCTGTCATTCATGCAACTGGGTGGATCTCGACAGTAATGTCGGGATCAGTCCCGGCTGCGGCAATGACAGTATACTGCAAGCTTTGGGTCACGGGAGGATGCTACGGTAATATATGTCCTCCTGTGACCCTTAAGAGAACTATGGGGAAAAACACTGACCCCCTAGTTCTCTTATAACTTACCCTTTACATAGACAAAAATGACAGTTTAGGCAGGGGGGTTGTTTTTAAGCAAAGCCATGTGATTTCTGTGATAGTGATCACATGATTGAGAACCAATCAGAGTGGTTTTCAATTGATAGTTGAGATCGGGAGCTGTCAGTGGCAGTGTGGTCTTGGAACTAGGAGCGCTCACTGTTGAATGCTCCTATTTCCTTAGTGGAACGTTGATATTCTCTCAGCACGGCATGTCATGCTAGGGAACATTAAAATGTATGTAAAAGCAAAACTTTTTTTAAAGTTTTGATAGAGTAGGAGAGAGTTGGACCCATGTTTTTGATAGAGTAGGAAAGAGTTGCCATGTTTTCTATCCATTTCCAATCTGGGGAGATTCATGTCTCTGCTTGTCCTGATTGGCCATTGTCACGGAGAGAGAGTATGGGGGAAAAGTCACATTTGTAGGTTGCAGAAACGTGTGCTAAAATGTGAACATTTCCATAAAGAGACTTCCGCAATGGCAGCTTCCATTATTCTTTCATGACACGGCCCCTCTAATGTTTTATCAGCATCTATAGTGTGTCATTTATAAAAAGCAGAGATCAGTTCTTCAATGAGTTTAAAAAAACACACAAATAATAATAATAATTGATTGTTTTAGTTTTTTCTCATGGTAGATATGTTATGTACAAGACCCTATGGACTTTCCCAACCCTAATATTCTGAATGTTTGGATCTCGTTTATTAGAGATGCACAGATACTTTTCGAGTACCAGTGCAGATACATTTTCAGGAGAACTACCAGGGTTGCAGCGGTTGCAGCTGGGACCTGGACCTGGCACTCCACCACTGTCCTGAAATCATTAGTCTGTATTGTTTTAGAAAAACTGTCACATGACAATAAACAAAAATGTATCAGTACTCGTACTTGTAAGTACTCGGCAAGTACCAGTACTCGTACTCGCAAAACTGGTATCTGTGCATCTCTTCATTTATATTTACATAAACAAAATCATACAATAAAACAGAGATGTACAAATCCCGGGAGCTCCGTGTGCTCCTTACAAATGACAGCTGCCTCCTAATTTTTGAATTTTTCTCTAGTCTAGTCTTGGAGCTCAAAAGTATCGGTACATGTACTCGTACCGGGTACGGTACTTGGTATCTGTGCAACCCTATCGTTTATGACAGATTGTGAGGAGATTTTGTTCCGTGTTTTCCTGTTTCTAACACAATATTGTATTTATTTCAGAGCCGGGAAGTGTCTACAAGAGCGGCAATCGTAAGTATCCCCCCATGACCTGTTCTGTGTGTTATTATAGTGTGCGCTGTGTGTAGAATATGTGAGGTGATGAGAAGTCCGGCAGATAATATGACTCTATGATACAAGGAGCCTGATTATCATTGTCCACCTTCTGATACTGTACTCTGGAATAATTGGCTTCTTCTGTCTCACCTCTGTGTAATGGACCTTTGTAATGGATCCGCAGCACACCAGCACACCTTGAGGCGCTTAGAAACCTTTACTGAACAATAAAGTGTTAATTTGGGGAATAGATAATTAGCGAGTACAATAATCAGGAGAAAACATGTATATTGAGGCACCTGAACAGCTAGAACAACTTCAATTGCGGTTATCTCTCTATCTAGACTTTTAAGCAATCCTATACTTACTATTGTAGTCCCTCTGAAGAATAGTTGAATGATGACATTTTTTGTACTGTGGACGGGAACACATTTACATGCTTTGTGCCAATCCATTTGTCTACGGAACCCATGCTCGTTCAAGCATTCCAACGCTTTCTCAGCTGTTCCAGGGCAGATTGGCATCGCAGATCGTATGTGCAGGAGAACTGATCTGCCCTGGAACAGCTGTTCGGTCCTGAAATGTCACTTCTCTCCGACTCTGTGACTGCAATCTCACATTCCACCCCACTCACAAAGTCTGATCGAAGTGACATTTCAGGACCGAACACCCTGGACAGGGAGCCGCAGCAGAGGGATGAAAGAGCCACATGCGGCTCCAGAGCCGCAGGTTGCTGACCCCTGGGTTAGACCCTCTGCCGTGTTTGCTATCCATTATTACATTGTTAAAACAAGTTGTCGTGAACGAGTCCTGCGTAATTGGTGCCACACCCCTGATAAGTGATGTAGGTAAATGGGGCTTTTGAGGCGCCAGGTGACAGATCCAAGAGATTACAACATCCTTAGCAACAAAAAATCTTTATTGCATACAAAAGTTTAAAAACTGTAAAATTGATGTGTGCGCGCTTCCATCATCCTAGTAACAAAATACCTCCAAAAACCACTCCAAACTGTCATGATAAAGGCATATTGAATCACACAACATAATTAGGTAATTCATAGGGAATATTCTCTAAATCATACATGAAGAAAGCCTCTTCAAATGGTGGTAAAGGAGAAGTTGGTATTAACAATAACACCAAAAACTACTCCAAGTTAACGTCATTGAGGTGCGATAATTCACAAAATACATAATTTACATCATTCATAAGGAATTTTCTCAAGATCATATCTATGAAACAGCCTCTTCTGAAGATGGTAAGGGAGTAGTTGGTATTCTCAATGCGTTTTACGCTCCAAGCGCTTCCTCAGGAGATGGAGGAAATCGAACAGGAAGGCAATTTGTGTGCATCCAACCGGACCAACCAAGATGAAACCCAAAGCCCAAGGAGTGTCAGCTGAGGACCGAACCCCAAGATGGTGGGAGTGAGAGTGATGACAGGATAGAAATCCTTGTGCAGTGGAAAAATATATTGCTGTTGGATCCTCAAGTGACTCCTATGACGGAGATATTGCCAGGGCTAGTAGTAGTCTGTAATCACTCCCGGGGGCTGCTGGTGTCCACGAGGCTGCGTTGCATGATATAGAGAATATTCCCTATGAATTACCTAATTATGTTGTGTGATTCAATATGCCTTTATCATGACAGTTTGGAGTGGTTCTTGGAGGTGTTTTGTTACTAGGATGATGGAAGCGCGCACACATCAATTTACGGGTTTTAACCTTTTGTATGTAATAAAGATTTTTGTTGCTAAGGATGTTGTAATCTCTTGGATCTGTCACCTGGCGCCTCAAATGCCCCATTTACCTACATTTCTTCTACTCCATTATTACACTGGGGAGATTCACCTGATGACCGTTGTCATAGAGAGGGAACGTATGGGGAAATCACACTTGTAGGTTGCAGAATTGTGTGCTATAAATGTGTGTTTCTACAACACATGGCAACACTCTTGCTCAATGTGCGTTGTGTTGTGGAGTTATTTATTGTGAATGAAACTCACAACGCATTGTACAGGAGAGTGCAATGAACAATGCACCGCAGTACACCACAACACACATATCAAATGTTTTTGTTTGCTTTGTTGATAAAAAAGGGTCATGTATGTTTTTTCCTGCATTGTGGTGTGTTGGCAGCCCATTCATAATAAATAGCCCGACTTACAGAACGCACTTGTTAATGCATCCCAGCGGAACGTTTAAGTAGAATCAGCCCCCAGAGTTGTCCTGAAAGTGAGAGGTGAGGGCAGATCTTCCAATGGAGGCAAATGTTCTGGTGACAATTTTCTGAAATGGGAATTGCTCTTAGTTTTGGGGATTTCCTTTCACTTCCTGTTGTGTTTCCAAGACAGGAAGTGAAGAGAAATCTGCCTAGCAGAACCGAGGCAGAAAAAATATCCTGATCGGGGTTTAACCTTCTCTATGCTGCCAAAAGCTAAATAAAACAATGTTTGTTATACATGCACTTTAATCTGCAGTCTGTGGGTGATAAGTGGGTTACGGTCAGATGATATGACTGCACTCTGAGCCCTCGCCAGGAGTTTATATAATTATCAGCCGATTACAATTAGAAATATAACGGGAAGGCCAGGAGCGGAGTATTCTGTACCACATGGAGTGCATCGTGTAAATGTACGAGGTGAGAAATAGGGCTTATGCACAACAACTGGAACAATGCCAATCAAGTTTTATCTTTTAAAGGAAAAGTGCCCTTATCCGTTTTTACCCCCATAGACTAGCCAATCCCACCCTCCACCTCCACAGATAGATACTAACCAAGATCTAAGGCCCCTGGGGAATGTTCACATCCAGTGCCACAAGTTCTGATTGCTGTACCTTCCTATTATAGCCCCTTAAGATTTTATGGAGCTGTAAGGTTCAAGCGCAGCCAGGAGAGAGGAAACTTCCAGCACTGGATGCAAATACACAATGGCCATTGGATCTCGGTAAGTATGTATGTGTGTAGGGGGAGGGGGTGATCGGATAGCTGAGTTCATGGGGGTAATAAAGAATTGGTGCACTTTATGTTAAAGTAAAGGAGGAGTTTGATCAGAGTAAACGGGTCCAATTCTCATAAATCAGCTCCGGTCTGTTTAGCACTGCGGGTATAATATATTACTATCACATGTCTCCTTTTATAAAGTATCCTAATCTGAACTTCCCAGTATTCCCAGTATTCCCATCATCTCATGTTCCTTTGTGTTTCTCTCTTTCAGAACCTGAAAATGGATCCTCAATGACTCTGATTATTGCCATCGTCTGTGCTGTCATTGCCGTCGCTGTTGGCGCTGGTGTTGGATTCTTTTTCTACAAGAGTAAGTGACAGATTTTGATGGTTTATTTTTCTCAGATGTTACTTCCTGTCACAGTGTAAATAAATGGACTTCAGAATTAGATTGCTTAAACTGACTTTGTCATAAGCCAAGTATTGAGGAGACCATTGCTGGCCTCCTGCCTGGCTGTATCGGACTTAAGGCCTTGTTCACACCAAATGCAGAGCGGATGCGGTCAGGTTTCTGCACACGCATGCTAGTCTTTTAGATGCGTTTTTGGCTAAAAAAATGTTGTTGTTTTTTAGTTTAACATGGGCTTTCAGTGTGTTCCAGGCATTTGCATGCGTTTTGATGCGTTTGCAGATCTAGAGCAGGTATAATAGGGCCTGCTGCAGTTTTTTTACCTGCTCTGGATCTGCACGCTGCGATGTGAACTGGAGCTAAAAATACCTTTGGAATACATTGGACGCAGTTTTGATCCGGTCTGCAACTGCTCCGCGCTTGGTGTGAACAAGGCCTTACACATTTTGTTTTTAAGTCCCCCTTGAAGGTTTAAAAACCAGCTCTGGTTCCAGTTTGGCACAGTCCCCCGCAATACCTCTTCTCTGCCAGAAGATGTCCTCAGTACACACAGCGGAAGGTGGGGGGAGGAGGTACTTAAGTAGGGAACGGGGGAGCCCAGGGAGGAGATTTTTATAACTGGAACAAGAATGCTGTAAATGAATGTCAGAAAAGTGTCCAATTCCACATCTCTAAACCTGTTCTGGGTCAGCAAGACAGCCAGGGAACTAGCATTCTCATAAGGAGATTCCAGCAACGGTAGCCTCCATCATTCTCTGATGACAGAGTCCTTCTAATGTTTTATCAACACCTATCGTGCGTCATTTACAAGAAGTTCAATGAGTTTAAAACACATATAATATAACTTATAACATATAATACTGGTTTAGGTTCATTTCTGACGGTAAATATCTCATGTACAGGACATTATGGGCTTCCCAGCCTCAATATTCTGACGTCTATGACAGATTCTGAGTAGATTTTGTTGTGTTTTCCTGTTTCTAACACAATATTGTATTTATTACAGAGCGGGGAGGCGGCTACAAGACCACCAGTAGTAAGTATCCCCCCATGACCTGTTCTCTGTGTTATTATAGTGTGCGGTGTGTGTGGAATGTGTGAGGTGATGAGAAGTCCGGCAGATAATATGAATCTATGATACAAGGAACCTTCTTATCATTGTCCACCTGATGATACAAATAGAAATATCTGATCCCCATTGTTGGCTCTGTACAGACTCCTCTATAGTGGGAAGAACAGAGAGTGTTAGGAGGATGTTCTCTGTACTTTATATAGTGGAATCATTGTATGATAATCATCATTTTACCATCATCTCCATACAGAATAAATTGCTTCACTTTATTTTACAGCTTCAGATACCAATTCTGACTCCTCCAACAACGCGAACTCCCCTAACAACCCGAAAGCCTGAGCGTACCCCGGAGGTGTATTATGTGAGGACATCGCAGGAGGAAGAGGAGATACAACTTTTCTCTATGCAGATTCTGTCTATTCCGCTCGTCTTCTGTCTGCTTTTATTAATACATTTGATGTCATGTAATTTAAAGAGAACCTGTCATGTATTCTAATCCGTTGGCTTGTGATTGGCATAAATTTGAATGTAAAATGAAGGTACACCTATTGTATAAAGATTAACAGAAACCCATCCCCTCATAGAAGTATTTTGCCCACATCGGTGAAATCATCATGGCTGACAATGTGGCACCTTCTAGATATAAAGAATTGTAGAATAGTAATTATTCATGTGCAGGTTCCGCTGATCGGATCAGTGCTGTCTGTACTTCAGTATTGGGTTTCATTACAGTTTCTGAGTAGTGTCATCATTGTATTCAGAGCTCCACTGCATCCCACTTCCCAGGCCCCTCCATATTATGGTGTGGAGCATACACTGGACCCCTAGACATGTATACAGTGCACCCTGGAGGATGGAATTGTGGGTGATATCATTGCTGATCTTGACGTGAGTACTCAGTGAGTCAGTGACCTGGAACAAGCTGTCAGGACTCCCTTCCGGCGTGCTTGTTTCAGGTCAAGGACTCGTGAAGTTATTTAAAGATTCAGATGATAGTGAATTAAGGATCAGGATGTCGGCCACAGAACTTGAACTCCTGAAACTGATCAGCAATGGCCGCTCTCATTTCCCTATTGTTCCCTTTATTGCCAGCCATGGTTAGGGAGCAGACCTTTCCTTTAATTTTGGTGACAGAGTCTCTGTATATATGGTGGATACATTCATGTGTCAGAAGGACAATGATATCTCCTGATACAGCTCCGGGGGGATTGCCTAGTAATATACACCGTGTGCCATATTCTATGACAGGTTCTCTGTAGGATTTATAAAGCAATTATCACATTATATAACATCATTGCGCTTTTTCCAGCATTGCATTATTCTAATATTCACTTTTACATCAGATCTACAATAAGGTTGAGGGGATTTGATTTTGTTATCATTTATGATTTTTGGAACTCGTAGTTTATCATTTTATTTGTAAAGAAAAAAAATAGACATTACTCCATACATCATGTAACATCTCATATCATCAGGATCTCATGACCGTCACATTCTGGAACTCTCTGCTGCTTCAGATGGATGATGACCTTCACTATGTGGACACATCTCTTCCGCTGCTCTGTTTGTGTCGGGGTGGTTTTTGGCGGGCTTCACCTATCTGTACAATGATTGGAGCCATCATATACACCCAGCAAAGGACATGGCATTTCATTTACATCAATTCCGAGGCGTCCATCACAATGTCCAGCATGCACCTAATTCCCAATGGTGTATGAGAGCTCCAGACATCATAGAGATAAATGAAGCCTGTCAGAAAATGCCGAGCCCTGAGCTGTGTGTACATTCGGACCTGTGTCAATAGGCTTTAGGTTTGTGTCAATGACAACAGCTTGACACACTTCTGAAATCCTTCAGAATTTATGGAGAAGGACATTTGACCTCCTTCTGACCTGCATTTGACTTGCTTATTTGGGTTTTGCATCCCTATAGACTTGTATAGGAATGTGAAACCCATTGGAAGTGAAGAAAAGCCTGGAACACAGACCAGGACACTGCTCATCACCTGTCTGCAGAGGCCTTATATGTCATAACCCTCATGTCATGGACCCCTAATGGTAAAATAACATGGCAGGCTCGTTATAAATGAGAGCACTCAGACTATTGTAGGGAATGTGAGAAGAGATCATTGATGACTTGAACCCAGATGGAAAATGTCAGTATGTTGTTTATCGCTTTTTGAGTTTTTTATGCATATTTTATTTTATGTTACTTAGAGGAAATAAGGATATTAAGTATATTTCACATACAAGCCATGAATAAAAGCTGATTGTGTAGTGCTGCTTAGAGGCCCATTGCTGAATCCGGATGATGTTGGAGCTGTTTGACTCCCATGCACTTTGCTTGTAATCTTCAGCAATCAGCTTAGTGTGAGGTTTCCATATAGTGATTCCAAGTTATAAAGTGCAGCCTTCCCATTTGACGTGAATCTCCTTCAGACAGCAATATATATATCAAGGCAGAATTGTGCAGACAAAATTCTACATTAAATCAGCTTACTCATAGTCTCAGTGAGGGGTGGATGCCGCTGGGCTGAATTTCTAAGTGCCCCTTCAGACATTCAGATAGTTACAGTGACACATATCCTACCGCATGTTACCACAACCATCATGCGTTGTGTCATTCATTTTGGATGACGCTCCAATGCTCTGCTCAGCAGCAGACAATGCAGTGCAGTACGTCATTGACTCTGCATGTCCTCCCAGCTGCAGGAGGCCAGTATTACCCCCGTGTTCTTCAGATACAGATGACACACATGAGAAGAACAAATGGCTTGTTAGTTATAGGATTGTATTTACTGTATGGACAATAAATCAATAAGATAAAGAATTTTGTGATGTAATTATTTTCTAAGATTTAAATTATCAATAAAAATAAATTGGCTTGTCCCTTTGAGGAGTCTCTGTTTACTTTTTTATAGAGGTGCACCAAAATGGAAATTTTAAAACTGAACCGAAATTAAAAAAAATTGTCAGGCCGAAACCGAAAATGTTTTTTATTTTATTTATTTCATTTAAACAAAATATTTTTTATAAACTTTTTAATTTATTCATTTTTTATTAAATATTTTTATTTTTTACATTACTTTTAGGGGCTTGGGGGGGGGGGGGGACTAAACAAACCCCTGATATTTCCCTTTTAAAATAGAAAAAGAGGTTGAGGACACAAAGTCTTCAATCTCTTTTTCTGCAGTTCCTGTTATAAATAAATAGGAATCCTCTATACTGAGTCTTCCTGTTCATTCATAACATGAGGACATGGTATGTTTACTATAACTACAACTATGAATGAACAGGAGGAGATGTAGATCACTTCCCATTCATTCATAATTGAGGATATAGTTATAATACCATGTCCTCAGTTATCTACAAACACTCAGCGTTTACTTTGCTCTCCTCTCTGACACGCTGTCACAGGAGGCTGAGCGAGCAGAGCAGGGAGGTGAGCTCAGCTCCTGTGACTGTGCGGGCTGTCTCCGCCCCCACACGGCTCTGCCGGACTGTGATAGGAGGCTGAGTGGTGTGGGAGGAGTCGCCGGCCGCTCACAGCGCTCTATTCCCGCAGCGCTTGGTTGGCTGTCACACTTTCTCTCCACCCCGCTGGGACACAGAGCAGCGCCCAGCGGGGAGGAGAGAAAGCACGGATGCGCCGATGTATCAGCAGAAAAATTGCACTTTCTGCATTATGCCAAAAGTGCCATTTCCGGACGATATGTTTCGGCGGCCGATATATCGGTGAATCCTTGCTTTTAACCAGAGTTTTTACTGTTTAAAATGTTTCCAATCTATCTGCTGTGTTTCACCCCTCAGACCTTTCACCATTTTTGTTGTCTGTCTCTGAGATCGTTATCAATATCTTTTTATAAGTGATCTCCAGAACCGGACAATATTCTAAATGAATATTCATAGAAACACAGCGCTCTAAACCTAAACACTTTCACCAATACAAAAGCCTATTTTTTTATTTTCTTTTAATAACTATCCACATAACAAATACAGTGTACAATATGAAATATCCATGATTCATATTTATTACATCAATCTCTAGTCATGAAATGTGAACAGTCCTTCTAAAGTGCTTGTGCCAACTTCCATATCAAGTGTCCATATATTACACCAACTTGCTCCCCTCCACCTCCACACACTCACCAGATGAAGTGTGACCTAATATAAGTACACAGAGGTCACATTGCAACTTATCACACCTATGGCTCCTTTTGGTAGACCACATCCAACGTTATTTCCCAGGAGGGTCACATATTGTGAAACCACTTTTGGAACTTTCTTCCTCATAGGTATGCAGATAACTCATATTTTTTCTTTAGATCCACTCCAATATCACTATACCGCTCGCTGATCCATCATAGGAATTACTCACAGGATAGAAAAAAAACATTTATTTCACCGTGTATATAAAAAGACAAATACACTTCCACAGTTTAAAATGTATTTCAGCCTAATGATCATAGCTCAGTCCATAGTAAGGAAACATTATCCATAAGGTTGTGGCATCAACAAGTCCCCCTCTTTTGGTCATGGGTGACTTCTCCAGTTAGAGAAGATTGATTAAACATTTCAGTTGACGGTCCAGCAGTATACTATGAAGTTCTCTTAGGACTCTGGGATGAATACCATTAGGACCAATTGCTGTAAGTTTTAAACAACCCAGTTCATCTGTTACCTCTACGTCTAGAAACCCTGAAAATAAACCTTCCCTGCTAGAACCAAAGAAATCCTCCAACTTGTTTTTGTTTGTTTTTTGGTGCCATTTACTTATGAGAAGACAGAACAGTGGTAGTAGTTGTTTAAATGGTTTGCTACATCCAGGTCTCCCTTCATCATAAGTATACCCAGTTTTCATTTTTTGTGATCCCCTTGTATATTTTCTTCTTGTCACTGACACATCTGAAAACATTTCCTGATCATACATCACAGGACAGAGAGAATTAAATCCTCAGACTACTGGGTTATGCAGCTACCCTCAGGTGATTAGTCATTGGCAAATCAATTAAAGCTGCAGGGCAGTCCTACATAACCTCTCCCCCCCACAGCTTTTTTTGCTAGTGGTCCTTAGTTGACAGAGTCCTTCTCTTACCTCTGACAGAAGTACATTCCTTACACTATATTAGTCTGATTTTGCACAAGATTCTTCTAGCAAGTTTCCCTACGTTGCTCCATGCCACTGTGGTGCCTAATAGCAGCTATCTGGTACTGTGGCACTGTGGCAATGGCTGAATTCATGGGGAAAATGGTGGACTTTGTCCAAGCTGCGCACCACAGGGGATGCCAGTGGCACCTCTCTTTTTGAGACCCCCTCTCTCTCCCCCCTCCTGGCCCTTAACATGTCTGTAGAGGAGGATTGTGCCCCTGCGGCATTCACTCTGAAAGGGGACCAGTCTACAGACATTTCCCCTAAGTTCAGGGACACTATCGCTGTCCATGTGAACACAATCCTTACATGTTTACAGCTAGGACAACCTGTGTCAACCATTCCTACACATGATGGCTATGAGGTCTGGACACCCCACCGGCAGAAAACACCATGACACCCTTATTCTGTTATAATTTGCCAGTCTAAGACACACATTGGATTTAAATCTTTTGTCTGTAGGCAGGGCTTGATTCCCGACAAGGCCACAGAGGCCCGGCCTTGGGGCAGCAGGGAGCAGAGGGGCGGCAGAGGTTTGAATCACCCGACACCCGGAACATGGAGTTCTGGGCGGTAATTTGTTTTCTACATTTAGCCCTGCTTTGCACAAGCCGACTCCTTGCTGGCCACAGACGTCTTCAGCATGGAGAGCGGTGAGCAGAGCGGCAGGGATAAAAGTAACAGGAGTTCCAGCACAGTACTGTGCTAGAACTCTTGTATTGGAGGTGACAGAGTCAGTAAAGAGAACCTGTCACCTCCAAGTGCTATCACACAGGAGCTTGTTAGCTCCTATGTGATAGCAATAAAGTTAAGTGAAAACTGTAAGGTCAGTAGAGAATTGGAACATTCCGTACACCCCACAACACACAGTTCCAACCTACAGACATCTTGAAATATTTAAATTGAGTAAACATTTCTCAGAGGGTCTGGAAATTCTAAAGACATATACCATAATGGCCATCATAGTAGCACTTAATGGAGTCTGGAAAGTCAGAACACTAATAGCTAATTGGTTGGCATGCCGTGACCCTCTAGTACAGCTCATAGTTGATGTATAAAGTCATTTAGCGACTATCCACATTGACAGTCTGAGTTAGACACCCTGAAAGTGTCCTGTCCACACACCCAACTTCCAAAATCCACACATAATTCATAATTGAGTGGAGGTTGGCTCAGTGACGTCCTCTAGAAGGCCCACAAAAAGTTGCTGCATGAGGCAGCTGGAGCTCTCCTTAAGGCCTCATTCACACACAACGCAAGCAAAATTGTATATTGTGTATATACGCGTCTATGTGTGTATATACGAGCATCTATGCGCGTATATAGGACCGTATGTGCGTATATGCGTGCACTATTTGCATTCCCAGAATGCATCATTCCTAATGGAAATTTTAACGAACTGTATGCACATACGCGCGTAAAATACGCAGAAATACGCTGCCCGGACGCATCTCGATTCCATTCTGTTTTTGCGCATATATACGCTGCGCAAATAAACGGCTCTATACGCGGCTATGTGTATGGAGCCATTTATTTGCATATGGTGCATTTGGTACAATACGCACGTCTGCACGTATACGCACGTATATGTGCGGCAGTGTGAATGAGGCCTTACCATCAAGAAAAGAACATCTATTAAGAGACTTGTTTCTAGAGAGCCAATCTCAGATCCATTTCATTCTTCACTGACTGGACTCTGCTGGAACCCAAAGAACCCAGGACGTTGCCGAGTAATAACATTCGTATTCCCTTTTGTTGTGCTGTTATATCATTGTCTCTTTTCTGTTGTAATATGATATCCGTTCGAAATCCTTTTCTTTTTCTGTCATAAACAATATATTAAAATGGAAAGAGTTAAAGGAGAACTATGAGGTGACTGCTTTTCACTCCTCCTCATAGTTCTACCCGACCTGTGACAATGAGACTGTCACAGGTCGGCTCAGTAGATCGGGAGGTGAGAGAACACATACCGGCGTTCGCTCACCTCTCGATCCTATCACGGCTCTCTGCCGTGACCGGGGAGGGGCTGG